CTGTGGTAGTTATTACTTTTTTTATTTAATAGAACTTAACGAGTTCATTACTAATATTTATGTCATTGCTGCTTAATAGAATCTAACAGTTGCATATACAACTTAGTAATTATCTCTCCAATGCCAAATTGTAAATCTAGGGATTATATTTTAATAATAATAGTTTGGTAGGTTTCTGAGGACAAACTATTACACAAATATCAAACTATTATTAGGTGGCAATGATATCTTAATATGCTATTAGAACTGTCTCTATAATAGCAAATAAAAAATGTAAAAATCAGACTCGTGAATGGATACCCCTTTGAAGGTTTAACAAAACAAAAGTTCATAAAAGAAGAATTCAGGGGTCCATTGTTGAAGTATAAGGATTTGTAAAGGCAGTAAGTCGGCTTGAAAAAATAGTAAAATATTCTTAAATATTTGTGTTTTGCTATATGAAAGAATGGAAAAAAATAAGCTATAAATAATAGATTTGAAAAATAATTTGTTACTATAGTTGTAAAATGTAACTTATTTATATAAGGCTATACACAAATGTTTGTTTAATACTTTTCTGCTTATAGTCTAAAAATGAACCGTAAAACAAATTTTAATAAACAAAAATTCATAACACAACAAAAAATATAAACTTCGAAACTTATTTTTTATTTCTTTGGTTATTACAATATATCGTAATATAAAATTATTATTTCATAATTATTTAATTTAAATATTTATCTTTAGCAAGTTTATGAACTTTAATAAGAAATTCCAGAGAAACACTACTTATCGTAATATCGAAATGCTTTCTTAGGGAAGAGTATAATTTAGATAATTATAATTTTCTTATAATTAGATTTGATGTGAGTTAAGCTTAATAAATATTTTTTTTTATTATTTAAAAATTGTATTGTTTTTTAATTTTTATATGTAAATGTATTCTTATGCTTTAATTGATATAAACATTTTTATTTACTTAAACAAATTTGTTCGTGGTCATAAATATACGTTTAAAACAGAGATCTTTGGTATAGCGAAAGAAGTTTACTTAGGCTAAATAGCCTGTAATTATTTGTAATAAATTTTAAAACAAAAGCAAAACTATTCTGTGCTAAACACTACATAGTCCCTTTTTAACGGGAGATACAATGTTAAATGAAATTTTGGGATTTCACTCATCATCGCTCAATATAATAGTTTTTGTATGAAAACGCATACGATTTGTGTTTTTAATAATGCCATTTGTTAATAAATTTCTACCAACAGTTTCACTAGGCAACTGGTTCCATAACCTTTCAATTTGATCATTAAAAATTGCATTATAATCTACTGTATTTACCGGGTTATATGACAGTTTTCGTACGCGTACAATTGCTTCCTTTGAAAATTCAGCAAGACTGACATTTGTGTTATTTTGCAGATTAACTTTTTGGAAAGCCTTTCTTTTTCTGCTTTGCTTATAATCACCTGAAGATTCGGAACTACGATGGAATATAAAAATAATAATTTACTTTTTATGAAATTTATTTAATATACCTTTTATATTCATAAACATTTAGTGTTGGTGGTGGGGCTCGACATATATTGCCGGGATCTTCAGGATGGTAACCATAATCAACACCGTTTAACCAGTTTTCGTATCGTTCTGCTTGAAAACGTCTAACAAAAGTCTCCATTGAAATTTTGACAGTATCTCGATTACAATGGCAAATTCTTGCACGTTTACCATATTCAATCCAGCGCGGCGAAGCGAAATTAGTGGACTCTGCACCATTGTAACCATGATTGAAACCCGCATGATATCCAAATGGGAACGTAATCATTATTTCTCCTGCCATTTGTGTAATTTTGTTGACTGGTATATTGTAATGAGACAAAACTTTTGGACTAATCATTGTCATCTTATGACGTAAATGTGCATTACAATCATCGTAATGCTCTTTAAACATTTGAGCGGCTACTTTTTCAAAACGTTTACCATATGCCGGTGGAATGGCATACCATGTTTTTGGTTCACCAAAATGTAAATAATTTATTGAATATAAATCCATATCTTCAGTATGCCAAGCAAAAGAGCTCTTCCACATACCAAAATATAAATAAGCCGTATTAACACCTTCGATTTCGATACCATAATCGGTATTGACAAAATCTAATATTGTTCCTAAACGGCTAATATTCCATACGTCAAGATCGCTATCACTTAATGACCCCTTCACATCAGCGGCATAGAGTGGAGAAACATAAGCTATGTTTTTCCAATATTTACGCTCTAATTCGTCATGATCAAAATGAACCGGTGTTCTGTATTTCTGTGATTCTGCTTCTGCTTTAAAGTCCTTTAGGGTCATCGATCGCTTTTGCATATTTATGACTTGATACTGTCCTTGTTTACCTATTTCAATAAAAATAAATTATTATACATACAATTATTAATACATTAAAAACACAAATAAAATGCAAATTTGATTTATGTTACTGTATTTTTGTAAATACATCGTATTTTTAATTCTTGTACATTACAATAATCACATATGTTTTTCGTCTTTTTAAATTCACTTCAAATGAGTATTTTAATTAATTAATCAAGTATTTTACATTTGTTATCAATTTAATACAAAATCTAACATATTTCAAAAAATATTAAACATTATAAAAAACGAATATTATAGGAGCCTAACGCGCTATTCATTGGTAAATATAAACTCTAGATTTACTCTCGATCCATAAGTTTGTATCTATAATACATATTTTAACAGGCTGTATTTACTGTTTCCCACACGTGTAACATTGTGTCAGTTATATACAATAATAATAATAAAAACATTTTAAAAAGATTTCTATTTTTACCAGATTATTTATTAATCTTAAACTTATTATTAATTATTATTTTCATTTAAATTCAAGACAAGATTTTTAAACAAATATATTTTTTGGCCATAAAAATTTTCCTTTTCAAATCACCAAGAAAAGGACATGTAAATTACTTAGAATTGGTAATCAATAGCAATAATGCAGTAAATCTATAATAATACAGCATTTACATTGGTCGTAAATGATTCATATCAAATCAGTTATTTGAAAGAGTTTACTTTAATTGTTATTTATTTGTTCTCATTTCAAACAGCTGATTTGTCATCGTGCCTGTTGACTTAATTTTAGTCCTGTGCCAAAATTTTACCTTTTTCGACGAAGGTAAAATGTACCTTCAAATATATAAAATTTATTTTTAGCTACGATTAAGTACTTTCTGAAAAGTAGAAGTTTCAAAAAGAGGTCCATCGTTTTCAACGAAATACAACCAATAAATATTTGTTTACCTTTTTTTTTTGTAAATATATCAAAAACGGAAGCCATTTACTTTTCATTTCTGATTTTTAACCCAAATCAGTCATTTGAGGTATAAACGTCATGTAAATCTCTACTTTCGTTTGCTCTATTAAAAATGCCATATATTACAATTTTGCACTTAAAATATATTCGATGTTTAAAGAGATATGTATACATTATATAATTTATTATATAAAAAGGAATGTAAGATACCTTATCTTAACATTATTGTTTTTTTTACGTAAAATATTTGATGAACTAAATGCAAATTAAATACAGTATATATTTCATAATGTTAAATTATAAATTTTATTTTCATATGTTGGCAACACTACTGCACAAAGTAAAAACACATTTTGTACCTAATAGTTAATGGTACTGTCTGCGTTTAAATTTAATGTTATTAAAATTTAATGGCATATATTGACAAGAAAACGTTTATGAAAATTTATTAAATTTAATAAAACTATTATAAGTCAACATATGGTCTTTAAATATTATAACAATTAATATTCAGAAAAACAAGGCAACATAAAATTTGAGTTATACACATTATTATTGACTGCGGCAGTTCATAAATTTTCTACAAGGTACTTAACGTCAAAATAGCTAAAACAAAACCTTTTCTTCACGTGTGGGATTGTATTGCGTTGTGAAATTTGTTAGTAAATAAAAATATTAAGTTAATTCTTTTATAATTTAAATAAAAATATATTTTTCAGTGATCTTAATATAACACAACCACAATGCCGCAAAATGAATATATGGAAAGGCACCGTAAACTCTACGGTCGCCGTCTTGATTATGAGGAACGCAAACGTAAGAAGGAAGCGCGTTTACCAAAGGAAAGAGCACGCAAAGCGCGCAAATTACGTGGTATCAAGGCTAAACTTTTCAATAAGGAGCGCCGGAATGAGAAAATACAAATGAAAAAGAAAATCCAAGCGCACGAAGAGAAGAAAGTCAAGAAGCAGGAGCAACAAGTGGAAGATGGAGCTATACCACATTATTTGTTGGACAGAGGTGCTCAGTCTAGCGCTAAAGTACTATCAAATATGATTAAACAGAAGCGTAAAGAGAAAGCTGGTAAATGGGACGTGCCAATACCAAAAGTGCGTGCACAATCCGATGCAGAAGTTTTCAAAGTATTGAAAACTGGTAAAACAAAACGTAAAGCTTGGAAACGTATGGTTACAAAGGTGACGTTTGTTGGAGATAATTTCACACGTAAACCACCGAAATTTGAACGCTTCATACGTCCCATGGCGTTACGCATGAAAAAGGCACATGTTACACATCCAGAACTAAAAGCAACTTTTTACTTGCCCATTATTGGCGTAAAGAAGAATCCTAGCTCGCCAATGTTCACATCGTTAGGCGTAATAACAAAAGGTACCGTCATAGAAGTTAACATTTCTGAACTTGGTTTAGTTACACAGACTGGCAAGGTTGTTTGGGGCAAGTATGCACAAGTAACAAATAATCCGGAGAACGATGGTGTTATTAATGCAATTTTACTTGTGTAAATCATATGGGATAGACTAAGACTTTTTTGTGTTTATTTAACTCAGAATTTATAAATAAAATTCATTTTAATAATTAAGTGTTTTAATCATTAAATATTTTTAATTATTTTGAGGCTAGTTGAGTCAGTGCACTTGAGCTCTTTTACTCTCTACTAACTGCGAGGTTTCTTCATAAACCTTCTGTAAGCCTCGACTGGTTTAAAAAAAATTTTTTTTTAATAGTATTTAACTACTGATCGATCAATTAGCCCGTTTATTATAAATTATAAAATATCTTTAAAGTTACCTGAAACTAATTGCAGTATCGGATTTGGTATTAACATATTAATATGATCAATGTCGTAACCAGATTTACGTGGTACCCATTCGCGAGGAGGCACCACTTTGGCGAGTCCTGCCAAATGAGCCCCCTTAGATTCTATGTAAGTGATGAATTTTGAGAAGTTTTTGAACTGCTCATAAGTAGGATAGAAAGTCATAATTCTCGGATTACTTTTCGAATTCTCAAATATGCCCTCCATTTCGTCCTTTCATTCACTTTAAATATTGTAAAACATTTATATAGAAACTAAATACTTTTTACTAAACGGCAGCGATAAAACAAACTGTTTTTCTCGTCAAATGTCAAAACGCAGGGTGGCGTTGACACATGAAAAACAATTTTATAACAAAACCAAACGAATCAAATACAAGCAAATATTTACTAAAATTAAATTTTAAATGGTTTTTCTTTTAATCAATTCATTTTATTAGTTCTTCGAACCGTAATTTATTCCATTTCGGATTTCGATTCGGTTCTAGACAAAAAAAAAATATATCGGTTCTGGTTTTCGCTCCCGCAAAAATATAGGTTTTTTCGGTTCGGAACAGAACCGATATTTCAATATTAATTCATATCAATATTTTGCATTACTTTTTTTTTGTGTGCATTTTTTTCCCCATAATTAAAATACTAAGTGCCATGTTATATAGAGCGTCTCGGGCACGACAAAATTGGTTCTTTCGGGCTATGCCGAAAATGCAAGTTTGGGCCATAGTATATAGAGCGCTTCGGGCATGACAAAATTGACTCTTTCGGGCTATGCCGTAAAAGCATGTTATGTAGACTGTCACATCAGTATTGCCAATTTCGTATTTTTAGTCCTTTTCGGTACTTTATGGTTGTGCTTAAATTTAAAAGGAAATGTAAATATGCTCACTTTCAATTTGCCACCAAAAATAACCAAGGAAAAAACTCATAGAGGCTGTAAAATTGTTAATAATATTATTATATTATCTTATAATAATTGTTAACTGTACTTAAAAAACTATACGCCTTTTCTTAAAATCGGAAAGTGTAATAATTAGATTATTAGCGATTTATAAAATAGGCTGTGTTGCTTACTGCCATTTATTTTCTAAAATGCACTGAAATTGGAATAATTTGCTCCAAAAATGCGCAAATTTTAAAATTTATTACTAAACAACACTGCTTTGCCTTAGTGCCGAGGCACAAATATGCCGGCTCTCATGCCGGAATTTGAACCGGCATCTTGCTTTTTCTCTCAATCTCAATTTCATACTTTGCATTGAAAACAAAAACAATTTTACTCCTGCCGTGCCCAAAACATTCTACAACATTCTACAACATAACATGACCCTTATTCATTCTTTTAGAAAGCATAGTTAATGTATTCATTTAATAAAAAAATTTCTGAAATAACCACTGAAATTCTTTAAAAACTTCCAGATATTAATTTAATATTGATTACCCATCTTTTAAACGCATCCTTGATAAAAAAAACTGCATCCCAACTCAATGGAAAGTTCCGAAGTAAAGATGATATTACAACCAGGAAAAATAGGTGAAAACGTTACATCTTGTCGTCCAGCAAGCCTCCTTTCCATTCTCTTAAAAGTACTTGAGATACTATTCTTAAAATGTCTTATGCCGATAATTGAGTCAAAACGAATAATTCCGAATCACCAGTTTGGATTCAAAAGAAAACATTCAACGATTGAGTATATTCATGGAATTGTTGAAAAAGTACAGACCACTTTCGAGCGAAAAGAATACTGCTCAGCGGCATTTTAGGACATATCTCAAGGATTTGATCTTGTAGGGGACCATACATTTGATCCAAAAATGTTCTGCCACTAAACCAATTTATGTTCATAAAATCGTATCTATTGAAAAGACTCTTTTATGTCAACAACGAGAGGATACATTTGCCCCAAAATTAAACTTAATAATATAATAATTCCGCAATCAAACATTGCAAAATCCCTCGGCCTTCATTTTAATAGATGTCAACCATGCAAAACAGATATTTTTACCAAAAGAAAATCCTTTGGGATTTAATACCTCTCTCTCTCTCTCCTTGTGTTGTTTGAGCATTCTCTACTGTGGTCTGTTGTCTTGGTAGTTATAATTAAAAATTATTTTAGTGATGCCTTCTGTACGTCTAAGTATAATGTGTTCAAGCAGCTTATATTTTAAAAACATTATTTCCTTGGAAATTGTCGTTTATCTAGTCTTGAACCATTACTCTGTGTTTGGTATGGCTTTTGGTTAGAATACTTTGAAGATTTCCACATTTAAGTAAAGATTTTAGAGAATTAGCTTTTTTGTCTGTTTTGAATACTGCTTTGACTGCTATCGTTTTGATTAACAGTTCTTTAGTCTTTGCTTGAAATTAAAATTTAATTAAATTTCAGAGTCTGAGAGAAGCTGTAAAATATTAAACACATATCATCTATATAAGCTATAATAATTAATATAATAATTAAAACTATACAGCACAACTCAAATTGCTATAGAATACATATCTTAGCGCAGATTTAGGGAGTCATAAAAATAAACTCCCATCTAATAGGTTAAAAGCAAAATAAGAAAAATTAATATAAACTACCATATATATCTCTCTTTTTTAGCAATGAACAATGAGATGAGAATGCAATATTAGAAAGTTTTTATTCATTAACGTTAAACATACTCTGGAAGTTTTATACTCTAAATAACATAGAAAGTTATAGATAATTTATAAAAAAAGTTAAAATTAAACTTTGTCTGAAATAATATTGAACAGATCACCCATGTAGAAACGCCCTCCAATCAATGTGATTAATCGTTGACACGGGTTTGGGCAAGTGTATTTACCAAAAATCATGTGCAATTAGTGAAACTAAATTACTAGATTGATTGAAAATTATTATTATTATTTTTGATTATAAAGTTTTTTTGCATAAGACAAAACTTGCTCTGTTATTTTATTTTATTTATCTGGTATCTGGTAAGGCCTCCTGCGAATTATCATGGTTCCTGACTTCCCCCATTTAAACGTTAATGTAATATAATAATTACATGAAGTATGGTGTTAACTTTTATTACAAGTTCTATTACTATTTATATAGAATAAGTAATTCTTTCTAACAATTGTTTTTAATTCTAATAATTCTTCTCTTTTTATACAGCATTCTCTAATATTGTGACACGTTGTTAGATAAAAGAGTTCTACCATACTTAGAAAATATAAATTATTTTACAAAATACAAATAATATTTAAGTTGAAAGATTTATTGAATATATCAATAGTTATATATAAAGAAAAATATATTCAAACAAAAAATGAGCGTATAAAATTAATTTATATACATACTACCATATATGCATACATGTATATATAATATATGAAAGTTTATTTATATCATTATCATTATAAATGCCTCTTTGTTTTCCAGACACATTGTAGTATTAGATTATAAAGTAAAGTATTTAAAAAATATTTATGTATGAAAATGTAAAATCATTACAATATTTTTTTTATTTGAAGTGGAACACTTCAGTTCGTTAAAGTTTATTACTTAATAGATTCTTAAGGTAACACAAGTAGATTGTGAAGATAAGTATATGTACATTAAGACCGAAAAGTTTTCGGAAATTCTCATTTAAAATTCGCGCGCTGTATATTTTTCGATATTTTAAGTTTATGTAGTTTGGCAGAAATTAAGGTAATTACTATGCCAAAAATGAGCGCGATCTGTCAGACAGTTCGTTTACGGCAGCTGTTGAAACCAGTTCACCTCAGTAGTGCGTTGCGAAAAAAACAATGGAAAAAAATATTGGACAAAGAGTTTGCATCAAATTTTGTGTTTCGAACGAAATTTCGTGTGCAGAATCGTTGCGAATGCTACAAAAGGCTTATGGGGAATCAGTTTTATCGAAAACTCAAGTTTATGAGTGGTACAAAGCCTTTCAGGACGGTCGTACGACCGTCGAAGACATTTCGCAACGCACTACTGAGGGGAACTGGTTTCAACAGCTGCCGTAAACGAACTGTCTGACAGATCGCGCTCATTTTTGGCATAGTAATTAAGGACAGTGCTGCCAAACTACATAAACTTAAAATATCGAAAAATATACAGCGCGCGAATTTTAAATGAGAATTTCCGAAAACTTTTCAGTCTTAATGTATATACTGCATAATATTATATTAAATGTTAATCTATGTTAAGACTATTCAAAAATTGTATATGCAATAGAGATATAAAAAAAATAAATACCCCCACTTTATAAGTGTTGTGTAGAATTTAGGATAGATATATATGAAAAATTCTATTCAATGCCACTAAAGTTTAGTTTATAAAAAAGGGATTTTCAACAACACCATAGTACAATTTTTTTTTTTTAAAACATCCTTTATTGGATATGAAAAGTACTATCTTAACTTTGTGTTAACTTATTACTATTGCGAAATTGTACTTAAAAGATATTAAATAAGACAGGTTTATTGAACCAGTAATCAGCTTCCATATAGCAGCTTCATATATTCAGCTTCCAATTGGATTTTTTTATTTTATATAATTCCGACTTTAACAAACGCTCCTCTGATTTATGAATTCATGCCACCTCTCTACAGGTTTGCTTTACACCCCTCCATCACCTTCTTTGTTGATTTATTTAAGATATATCGTTGTGTAATTATTTTAATATTTGTTTAATAAGTTTTTTTTTTCAATAAATTTAAAAACTATTCATTTTTATTAAAATTTTCATAACATTTTTAAGTTTATTTAACTTTTTTCTAAGGCCGGTAGGTTAGGTAGGCCGGTATATTGTAATTAATATTATTGTTATACCATAGGTATATTATTATTATTATTTTTACTATGATAATGATGATTTAAATTTGTTTAGAAAATCTATTATCCTATAGATTAAAAATACATAAAAAACCTCCTATAACGACCGATCAAATGCTTGCAAAAAGGAATCATACCAAAAATGTTCTCTCTAACTAACGCTCCAAAGGAAATATATCCAAAATAATGAAAATATTTTTGTTACTCCGAGAATCTACCGTACAATTTTTTTTACTTTTTAAAACAAAACTTTTTATAACAAAAAATTATTACTTTCTTATTACTCGTCTGGGGTTTTCTCTTTATTAGACGAAGACTGAAACCGAAAAAAAAAAAAATGTTGTCTTCTATTTTTTTTAATATAATTTTTATTAAAAAAAGGGTAATTTGCATTTAGAAGGATTTTTAAATAGCAGTGAATAACAACAACAAAATTTTATTGTAATTGAACTTTTTAGCTGTCCACACATAAGTCAATAAGTGGTCCTTGTGGATATATACCTTG